AGAAGCTTACAAATAAAGGCCCCCAGCAAAACAAAACTGCTCCTTCATTTTCTGGCTAAAAGTAGGGTCAAAGAAGGAAAGTAATAAGTTTTAGCATAGAAAAGTAAAAAGGAAGTGGGGTACGGGTATGGGAAGAAGGCAGGGAGTATTGATATACCTAACATAACCATGGTACCACTTGCTGCGTAGGTCCTGATTGTACCCATTCTATGTCCCCACATCCTCTGATTCCATAAATTCCAAAACAGCCCAAAGGAATCCTATTGGTTTTGTTTGGAAAGCAGCCCTATGTTTCTCAGCCTGCCCATTCTAAAGCAAGCCTGTCAAATTTGGAACCTAAATATAAGCTGACAGAAATCAGCTGCTAGCAAATTAAGCTAAATTAATAGAGTAGACGCCTGAAATACAAAGAATGTATTTTTTTTTTCTTCTAGAAACCTTGCTCTCTAGTCATCAGGCTAGGTAAACTGAAGCAAGCCTCCATCTCTGCAGCAAGCCCTTTCCTTCGCCTGGTGGTGCTTCCCAGAGAGCCCTGCATGGGACCCCCCCTCCAGAACTACTGCTCCCCCTAGTGGCAGCCTTCATGCCTTCCTCTACCAATTTTATGGGAATATTGTATATATAACAGGAGTCAAATCCTCCCCTATCCCTGAAAAGATTTATGCGTAGTGAATTATTAGAGAAAGGGAGGCAACATCCAAATGGGCCAAATATACAAAGCACACACTGTGGTCAGCTTTCTAATTACAAGAAGAAAGCATGACTACACAGTTGAGTCTTATGATGGTCCCAAAGGGATTATAGGTAGGGAAAAAAATGCTGGACCAAGAACAAGAAATTCTACTTCAAATCCAACTTTTCCTCCAAATAACTATGCACCCTTGAACTAGACAGTTCCATTTTATAAATATAAGTGACTTTTATAAATATACACATAAGTGAGAAACTCAGGCTTTCTCACATGCAGATTTTGTCTTAAGACAATATTTGAGACTGTTTCTATGAGAGTAAGTTCTGTAGTTTCTCTTTATACTGTTTATGGGATAAAAGACTGTACAAATGCCAAATCTCATCTACACCTCATCCCTTCCTTTGCTGCCACTCCTATTCTAGTTCAAATCCTTACCACTCTGTACCCTCTCGAATGGATCACCTCCCTTCCCTTCATCAACCTTGTAGGAATTTTTTTTCCAGGCTTCAGACAGGAACAGAAAGCATGGTGGCTCACTTAGTGCCTGGAGAAACCAGTGTAACTACAAAAACTAACCCCCACCTAAAAATAAATGGGCCAGTGTAGGAGAGGTTTATATCCTCTGCGTGAAATCAGACAGGTGCAGCAGTTGCATGCAAAAAAACAAAATGATTCTAATATGAAAATCTAATAAGTTGCCTGGACAAAACTGGCCAATACCATGTGCCCCCTCACTCCTTCCTCACTGTCTCCTCATCTTCCCTCCTTCCTCATGGTTAATTTGCCATTTAGAGTGTGCAGCATTGCCAAGAAAAGACTCAAAAAAGAGGGTCCAGAAATTCCTTATCTACCCCAGTTTAGCAATTCCCTCTGATTGGCCGGAAAACATACTTCAACTGGGTTTCAGAAGTTGGTAAGCTGAAATAGAAGAATATGAAGAGATTTGCCAATGGCCACTACTTAAATCATAGCAGGACCAAAACAAAGTTCAGAAGAACTATCTTGTAGCCTCCTGCTGTGAGTGCCCAAGAACCCTTTTCTGTAGGGAAAACAGAGATATTTCCAGTGTTAAGGAGGCAACTACCCTAAAGGGTTTGGGAACTTAGCATATTTTAATTTCTACTTTTGCCATGTGGTGAAATTGAATAGTGATCTGCTGAGTTCCATCATTCTCATTTCTGTTGAAACTTGACTAAGCCCGTTTTCATTATTATTTAGAATTTTTGTGAAAGCATAAATATTCCTGGGACATCATAAAGATTTAAATCATAAAGTTGATTTTTAATTTTGTAATCTAAAACAGATTGAACACCTGAAGAGACTTAGCAATGGCACTACATTATGTTGCATCTGATAAGATTCCTTCAGCAAACAGTCATACTATGATCTAAAATATTGTATGCCTTACCAAAGATAAGTAAATTATATAGTTATTAGCTTCTTTGAAATAAACTAACATGTAATTATTTGACTGAGAAAAAAGCACCTGTTTGATGGGTGAGTGAAGGGATGGATGGATGAGCTACATCACAGCCTCTCAGAGGCTTCCTTTCATCTCTCACAATGTTTCAGCTCTAGTTCAATGCCACAAAACTCGAGTGTCTCCAGTAATAGTGATGATGGTTTGGAATGGCACTAAATCAAGTTCAAATCATCCGAAAATGTCCCTTTAAGGTGTCTGTTTTCTTCCCCATTTCACTGGAGCCGCCCATATATAACTAGGTTGATTGATGGAAGCCTTACTTCTACTTCCTTACTTCCTGCCTTTCCGCTGACAGGAGGTAGGAATAAGCAATGCAATAGGCCCAAGGCCAAAGGCCAAGCTGAGGGATCTCCTTCACGGCCAGACTGGTCACCCACCTCAGAATAATTGAGAGCCTGTTAGAAGTGGTGCTGAACTGCAAATGTCATTGAGCCTGGAGAGACCTAGCAAGGGAAATAGTGAGGAAAGAATTGTATTGTGGGAGAGTGATGCTGGAGCAGATCTGACTTCTCGGCTTAATCTTACCACAAAGTCTTATGAGTTCTCCTGACCTTTCTGTGGTTTCCCCACCCTCTCACTTTCTTGAAAAACAACCCCCTATTAACTGCTTGCCTCCTAGGGATGGATGCTAGGATAATAGTGGGTGAACAGTTTTCTGTAGCTTTTGAAACTAGAGAGGTAAAAAAATCACAAAGCTAGAAATGGCTGGCTTTAGGATCCCGAAAAGTGGCTACTGAGCCATTTCTGTGTGGTCAAATGAACTGTCAACCTAAAGCACCTGCCGGGTCTAGGCACAGGAGCTTCTCCCCTGTCCCCATAACCCTTCTAGATTTCCTCCTCCACATACACATTCCAGTTATCAGCCAGCCTCACTAAGTCACCGAGACATCACGTTCAAGCCATTGTTAGTCATGAATTAAACTGTGGGTACTTTCTGGAAATGGCATAAATCTAGAAAAGAAAAAAAAAACAGATGGAGTGGATTTGAAGCTCACTGTAGGCACTCACAGTTTGATTCTTGCCTTTTCAGATTTAAAAAAAAGTCTGAAGTAGACTGTAATTATTCTGAATTTTCTCTCCGTGACCTTGAAGGGCAAGTGCTGACTTCATTCTACTAGGAACCTACTTTACAGAGAGTTTCCTATAGTACTAGAGGAAATAAAAGCAATAAATAAGACCTGAGGAGGACCACAGGAGCCCAGGAGGTCAAGACCTGCCTGGGCAACATGGCAAGACCTGAGCTCTGCAAACATTTAAACATTAGCTGGGAATGGTAGTGCATGCCTGTGATTCCAGCTACGCAAGAAGCAGCGGCGCTAGGATTGCTTGAGCCCAGGAGTTCAAAACCGCAGTGAGCTGTGTTTGTACTCCTGGGTGACAGAGCAAGATCTTGTCTCAAAAAAAAAAAAAAAAACCTGAGTTGTGTGCCTCATAATATTTATAGCTAAATAAAGACAATAGATGTATATGTGACTACATAGGGGATCTTATGCATAGAATTTCCTTCAAATATGTGTGTAAGATCCTCTCATTAATATGCAATTCCTGGCTTTTTCTCCTCTACTTGTAAACCTGAACAGATGTCTGTCTGTTTTGGGTTTTTTTTTGTTGTTGCTGTTTTTTTGTGTGTTTTTTGTTTTTTTGTTTTTTGTTTTTTGTGTTTTTTTTGAGGCAAAGTTATGCTCTGTGTACCAAGCTGGAGAACAGTGTGTATAAGCTCAGTTCACGGCAGCCTCCACTTCCCAGGTTCAGGCAATTCGGTCACGTCAGCCTTGTGAGTAGCTGGGATTACAGTCGTGCACCCGCATGCCCAGTTAATTTTTTCTTTTTTTTTTTGAGATGGAGTCTCACTCTGTCGCCCAGGCTGGAGTGCAGTGACATGATCTCAGCTCACTGCAACCTCTGC